CACAATATGGATGGTGCTCAAGGAATGAATCAGGGTTTGTAGTGAATGAGACTGTTGTCTGTAGGACCTGGCTGGCCTCCCTGCGCTAACACAACATAAATGTTTAATAATCAAAGAAAAGCACGCAGCCGTCTTGCCAAGTACAAGTGTCAGAAAGCAGCTCTCTGCAAATCTTGGCATCTGGTGGTACTTAGTGATCCAATGGCTGGATCGCTGTGAAGCGCGCTCTGCCTTCAAACCATTTGGGAACTGCAGTTGGTGCTGAACGCGGGGTTTTCATCCAGATAGACTGTACCCTGGCACCCGTAGGGTGTTCAGCTGTTTTTCAGCAGGTCTGGGTTGTGATCCTTAAAGCTTTAACTGGTCTGGATCTCCAGGCCCTGGGAACCATGCCCAGGGAAGAGCCTGCCCTGGGTGGGAAGGCCTTTTAAGAGCCCACTTTTGTGCCACGTGATGTGGATACTATTTTGCTTGATTTCGATGTTCTGACTTCTGTACCTGCCCCTAGAGATTATAGTGGTTGCCAGTGTAACCAAACAAAGGGCTCCTTCAACAGCCCTCCCTTGCTGGGTTCTCCTTGAGGAGCCTTTGCTCTTTTTCCAGGAAAGCACAACTAATTCAGAACCTTTTCAGGCCCATGAATGTTCCCTCCCTTGCTGCTCATGCTGCCTTTTCAGCTCATTAGCAACCTCTCCCTCAGCAGCGTCCCTTGGGCAGATGAGAAGAAACTTCCCCAGAAGGATGAGCCCAAGTACATGAGCAACGCAGGCCAGAAGAGAAGGGGAGCCTCCCTCCTCTGTGTACACGGCTGAGCTTTTCTTTCAACTGAGAAGAGGGTTCCTATGATGCATGGTTTTACTCTACTAATGACATTTTTGGCCAGAAACACTGTCCTTGCAAAGGGAACTATTTTCCAGATCTCTCTTTACAAGTCAACCAGCACAATATTATATAAAGATTTTGCAAACAACTCCCAAGTCAGATATCCCCCCAGTGAGGCCAGCCCTGCTAGACTCCGCAGCAAGGTATGGATCAGAGAGAAGATTTCAAAGAAAGGCAGCGCTCAGAGCAATTCCAGATATTCTTACAAAGGGCAAAAAGAAATCGGAATTGCCTGCAACTCCTATTAACACAAGAAACACAGACTCAGTAAACAGCTGTAAGCATAACAACTGTATTATAAATCAGTCAATCTGAATAACTAGTGCACTGTACAAGAGGTGGAGACAAGCAGAAGGGTAAAATTAAAAACAGCAAATGTGAAATATCTCCATGTATTTATACCAGCTGATTTCCTGCACATGATGTGGTTTAAATCAGCAGCCAAAGCAGTTACACTTTAGCTTGACTGCAGGACTGCCCTTATCAGAGGTTAGTTCTCCCATCACTAACTTACATTTTATCTTTCTTTTGTCATTTGCTGACATGGGACAACTGAAAGAGTAAGAGGAGACACTGAATTGTGCCGAGGCGAGTGTTTCACCAGGTCACACAAGGTTCTAGCAGGCTGTCAACAATTAAATCAACATTATAAAGTTACACATCGGCGGCAGAACTCCACTGGGACAATTGCATCGCATCAGGAGGCACGTAATGAAGTCATTTCTGTCAACAGCATCATCAACGCAGGACACATTATCCCTCCACGCAGCACTCCCACCACAGTGCCATCTTCACTACTAAATCCTGTAGAAAAACAGTCAGCCTGGTGTTTATCCACTACCTTCCGCTGAGTTCATCACATTTATTCAGAATATTTGTTTGGCTTCTAAAACATGGGCAACCCTTCTCACCCTTACAGTGAATGCTTTACCCTTTCTTTTTTGTTGAACAGCTACAGTCTTTTGCACTGTACTCCTTAAAGCTGGAGAGCACAATACAAAATCCATGAACAGCAATTAATCTAAGTCACCAAGAGATGGTATTTATGCAACTTCTGCCCTCCCTACACTTAATCTTGCAATATTTTTCTGCATATTTTTCATGTCAGGTGTCAGCAAGCTTTTCAGGACTGGGACTCACCCTCTCAGGTGTCCGTAAAACAAATACGCACATCTGTGGTGCTGCAAAAATAAATATTTCACTGAAAGAGTCAGCAAAGGCCTGTTATTGTATCGGAAACCCTGACCATGGTCAAGGTCCTGTTGTGCTCCTTCACATACAGCGTCAGACAATTCCTGTGCCAAAGAGCTTACTCTCTGTACAGACACAAAAGCCAAAGGGTTAGTAGAAGGGATACCACAGCAAGGCAGAGTGGGAGGGAAGGAGAGGTAGGCACTCGCTAAAAGCAAAAACAAAGGGAACGGAGATGCAGTGGCAGGACATGGGCAATGCCACAGGGTACAAGATCTATTTGAGTGTGCCGGTTGTCTTCAGGCACTGGCCCGGTGGATGCACAAAAGGGTTATCCAGTACAGGCTGGATGGACACGCATCTAGGACCGTTCTGACGGGGCTGATCCTGCTTCAAGCGGAGGGTATGACTAATGTCACCTCCCAAGAGCCCTGCCAGCCCTACTTTTCTAGGATTCTGTGGGGAAAGGAAGCTGGAGGCCAGGTGAGCAAGACTGCAGTGATGATGAGGGAAGGGTCTGGGTCAATGGTCAAACAGCAGACCAGAAGCAACACCCAGAGGAAAGAAAGACCACAGAAAGTGTGGGCTGGCCAACAGTACCTACGCTGTGCTGAATATATGAAGTGCAAGAAAATGATAAACAAGTCTGAAAAGCGAGGCTCTACAGGTCTCAAAATTGGGCACCCAGTAGTGTATAAAATGGGGATTGTATGTACCGCCTGGCCTCACATGGGGGTTATGAAGATAAATCCACTAATGTGTGCAAAGCACATTGATACCAGAGTAAGAACACCATGAAGAAAATGGTAATTCCACATGCAGTGATGGGTTTTATTGGCAAGAAGAGAAAGTACCTTCATTCTACCATTCTTTTTTTTTTTTAAATATTTGACCTCACAACCTTAGCATTCTTTTAACACAGTTTTAGGAGCTGTATAATACATTATATACATTTTTCTAATCTCTCGTTCAAATGTGTCATGTTCTACTATTTATGTCAGAAAAAGCAGGCCCATATACAGTGAAAGAAGAACGGCTGGTACTCAGAGGCCTGCTCATTCACTGTACACTATGCAATATTAGCAATAAATAAGGTGAGAGCTCTCTGGGGACTACTTATCCGCCCTGGGGAGGTCTTGTGCAGAAGTTAGCAGTTCAGGAAAAATGAGCTAAACACTTCCATGTTACAGCAAACCAGTACAACCAATCTTTACAAAACATCTGCCGTGTAAACCTGAGGCATTATATTACCATATAGGTAATATATGTTCAAGAGAGTCCAGATCAGATTGCTTCAGTGCCTTTGCAACTCAGAGGCAAAAGGCAACTAAAACCCTCGTACAATGAAATCATTGAATTATCATCGACCTTAGAGAAAAGAGAGTTGCTGCTGACCCCTAGCGTCAGCAAATTTAGCCTCAACCTGACTGGTACAAGCCTATTCCACCTGTTGCCACATCAAAGCAATAACCGTTTAGACCAGTGGTTCTCAACCAGGGTGCCACAGCACGTTAGGGTGCTTTGAGATCCCTTCAGGGGTGCCACATAACATTAACATCGTTAGGTGCACAAACTTGATCCACAAGGTGAACCCAAAAATCTGAAATAAAAATCCAGAGTGTTAAAACCATTCTGCCCTGCTGTGGGCTTCCTGAGTCCTTTGTGACAGAAAACCTGCTGTATCACTCTTCCTGAGTAGAAAAAGGAGTGAAAACTAAGAGCTGGCATCTTTTGGGGCTGCCTTGAGTCTATGAAGGTTGAGAACCACTGTCTGAGACTTTTGAGCCTTCAAAACCTCTGACATGGCAAACTGGCAGCGCTGTCGCCACACACACCAGCACCCCCTTCCCAGTTCAGAGACCTTAAGGCCAGAAGCAAGTATCAGATCATCTTTTCCGAGCCGTATCGTGAGAGTCACAGCATTTTACCATATTACTCAGTTCTAAGCTCAGTAACGCAGGAAAGCATCCAGCAGCAAGGCATCCAGGCTGGACTTGATGGCATCAATAACTACAGCAGCAGGGACTGATTTTTTTTGGCAGACAAATTAGCCCCACATCTTTCGAATGCTGCTCTGATCCCTTTCCCCCACCTGATCTGCTGCTCTGCTTTCTGGTCCCTTCCCCATCTGCTGCTGTGCTGCCTGCCCCCTCCCCAAAACTGTTGTGTGCCACCCACAAGCTGCCTGTGCAGGTGACCCACCCCTGAACTAGAGGGTCCACCGCTTCCCACGGTAGTTTGTCCCAGTGGTCAAGCAGTCTGTTATAAGCATGGGCTTTACTTTTAGTGTGAATTTGTCTAACTTCTCCCATTAAGACTTCTTGCGTCTTCTTCCCCTATGTTAAAAGAGCTGTTTAGTACCTAGTAGCTCCCCATGAAGGTATGCAGACACCACAGTCACCTCCCCATCTTTCTGATAAGCAGTGCAGTTCATTAAGCTTCAGCTTCTCACTGACAAACATCTCGTCACCACTCCCATCCTTTTACAAAAAGCTACAGCATTGCATAGGAATGGTCCAAATGTGAAGGAACTGCAGGTTTCCAGCTCCTCCCAATTAAAGGCCTCCAAATCCCCATTTACATGGCAGCTGGCTGCCATTTCCCTCGATTCCACACATTTAACTGACTTCCCCTCATTTCGCAGATTTGGAATAGGACTCTTAGGGCAGAAAGACAGGCAGGTTTCTGGCCAATGTTAACCCCTTGAGCAGCCACATAGGCTTTCCTGATGGTGAACCCAAGTATCTGCCTGCCTGGGAAGGCACAAGGCAGAGAAAGTCAAGGAGCAGCCTTGGAGCTCGGGCTCTCCCACGTGGCAGTGCACTGTGCTGTAGGCCAATCCACACAGCATGAGGGACCCCAGAACTGCTGTCTACAAGGGGAACGGCAAAAACGACAAACAACAGCATTTCCACCATTCTACTCACAATTTTGAGTCCAGGTTCAGGAGAAAGCCCAGTTTGTCATATTCTGAAAGACAAAAGCAGGAGACTTCATGTAAGAAAAGCAGCTAGTGTCTCCTCCCCGTTGGGTTTACAATAGTGCCTTGCCAGAAGGCACAAATATTTCTTACTGGAAATGACAACTGGAATTTACAGGGTAGTTAACAGCCTGTGCACACTCCTGAGCAACATTAATTAAATGCGCTCACCAAAAAAATGCTCTGGATCTCCAGGGGAGCTTGCTAATTCCAAAGCCATTACAACTAGACAAGATATTTGCAGGGAAAGACTGAAACACACATCATGTAACACCGATAATAAAGGGGTAAGCAGAGCTTGCCCTGTTCGGAGTGGAACTAGTGTTGCCACCAACTCGCCCACTCAAATTCATGCCCAAGTCCTGAAAGTGGTACAGCTTTCCAGTGTCCCTTGGCAGTCCAGGACAACCCCGCGTCTCCAGCTTTATGGTTAAGCAAACATTGTATGCACTGGGGGTGCTTACAGAGGCAGAAATGCTCCAGGTTAAGTTAGTAATGTGTAAACTGCAGAGACACAATGTTAAGGGCCTACAAGTCAGCCGGGCAGGACTTGTGCCTCTTATGAATAAACAGGGAACAGTTACAGATACTTTCCCAGTCAAAAGTATGTTTCTATGATTCCCATACAGAGTTAAACAAAAAGTTTCCTGTATTTATAAATATCTTAACGTAGTACATTTAGAAGATGACAAAACACTGGTTGTAAAACAATGCTTCCTCTGAGAACTTGCCTAAGACATGCCAAGGACTTCAAGTTTTTATTATTTATCATTTATATGCTGGTCTGGCTGAGAGGCCAAGCACGAAGACCCATTATCCTGTGCACAAGGGGTTATAAAAACACATTTAACAAGACGGCCCCTGCTCCAAAGATATTGCCAGTCAGGACACAGCAAAAGCAATGAGGAACAAGAGTACTCCCGTGGTCTGTGCCGACAGCCATGGCACTGTCTGATCGGTGAGAAATGGAAGAGGAAGCTGCTCTCACACACGCACACACACCAAGGGATGGGGCAGCCTATGCAGCAGTGAAAAGTAGCGTAACCATGAGGCTATGGGAAGAGGTGGCCGACTTCCATGTGACCTGGATGTCCTGCCTGGCAAATGGGAAGACTCATGCTCTCCAGCACGGGTGGTGCATTTCAGAGCTCCTGTAAGCTGAGCTCTCTGCAGTCTTCCACTCCCAGCATGGTCCCGTGTGCCACCCTCCACCTCTGCTTCATGCACTTCCTCAACCATCTGGCCCCCTCTCCTTTCCTGCAAGCCCATGTCCCCCTTCTCCAAGTTTTCCTGCCTTCTCACTCATGCTAGGAGCTCCATGGGCCCACTCTTCTGTTCACTTGCCCACTACAAGCAGGGGCTCTGTGCACCCCATCGATCTCCCTTTCCACGTGCCAGGGGCTCTGCATGTCGCCAGGTCTGCCTGTCTGCTAATTCCCTGGGCTCTCTTCCCCCATACCAGGGTAGCCAACCTGAGGCTCATCTGCCACAAGCGGCACAGGCAGCCTGCATGTGGCACACAGCAGGCCAGAGAGGGGACAGGCAGCAGACAGGGCAGGAAGCAGAAAACAGAGCAGCAGAACAGACAGGAGATGATGATCAGGGAGGGCACAGAGTTAATCTGTGGCATAACTGCCAAAAAGGTTGGCTACATTGCCTTAGACTATTCTCTCCCTGTGCCAACAGCTCTGTTCATTTCACACTGCTTCCAGACTAGGGTCGTACGTTAATCCTTCCTGTCTGTGCATCCCCATCCCCTGTGTGCCCCTTCATTTCTCCTGGACAGGCAGAAAAGAAACAGTGTTGGGGGATAAGTCATTAAGATGGAAGAGGCTACCAGAGGCAAGGTGGGGGAATGATGTTACACTGGAAGGCTTTAAAAGGTGCCAACCACCAGTCTGGATGTTCATCAAAAACAATTGACCCACGAACCAACTGCCAGGTCTCTGAAGGTCCCCTAAATCTCCTTTCCTTTTACTCCACTTCTCCAAAGCAGTATTAATGCTGCCTCCAGCCAGACACTCAGCAGCCTGTGCACACAGCACCTTGCTTCACCTGGCCAGCGAGGAAATCCTGAGAGCTGGATGTGCGTGGCTTGTTTGGAGCTTGCCCACAGTGGTGGAGGGGTGTGGGATGCTACTGAGGGGCTGGGGGCTTGCTTGGGGCTTTTACTGCCACCTTTCATCTCCACATCCTACTCTAAAGTGACGTCCACTCAGGACAGTGGACGTGCTACAGCAGTTAGTAGTGTATATCACAGCCTCTGCCCACACTGGCGGTAGCCTCAGGCTCCTTCCTGTATGCTGAAAATGGCATCCACACTTGAAAAACAATAATTTTTCTGGAGTTTGACAGGCCACAGCCACCAGATGCCCTTTGCCATTGTGCTCTACGCTCCCGCTGCCTCCCAGCCAGCTGCCGTTCCCTGTTGAGGATGCAAAGGAATAAACAAAAACAAGTCCTCCCCTCCCAGGATTGTAAGTGGAGCAGCAGGAACTAACCAGAGCAAACAGAAAGCGCTTTGCTTCCCTGCTGGAGCAATGCCCCGACATATCTGCTACCTCTGCATTTTATGAGGTGTATTTCCAAAAGTGACATATTTAAAAATAAACAAAGATTAAGAAACTCTGCTAATCTGGGTCAGACTCGGAGCACGGCTAAGTGCTTGGATTCAGAATAATTATTGCAGAAGTCTCTTTATTCTTCACTGCACTTCCTGCTGATATCGAGATGCCGCTAAAGAAAGCTTAAGCCTAAAACAGTAGTCTGTTTCGAAATGAACACTGCAAGGCTGCAACAGCCTTCTCGGGGCTGCCTGCACATAGCCACATCCTAATCCTGCAGCATCTGGATACATGTCCAACACAAGAACAACCTCCAGATGCATGTGTACAACGACTGACCAGTCCCCTACTGCCCTCCCAACTCCAGCTCCCCAGGATGACCATCCCAACAAGAAGCAAGGGGGTCAGGAGTGCCCAAAAGCCCCCCTGGCTCACCAAGGGCATCTGGGAATGCCTGATTGCCAAAAAGGCGGCATACACCTGGTGGAAGTGGGGTGCTATCTCCAAAGAGGAGAATACCTCCTCTGCTCGGGCCTGTAGGGGGGCTGTCAGGAAAGCTAAAGCGGACATAGAGATAGGACTAGCGTCCAAGATCAAAGATAACAAAAAGTCCTTTTTCAAATATATAGGGAGGATGAAGAAAGCACTGGGAAACGTGGGGCCCCTGCAAGATTCTCTGGGCAATCTGGTGGTTGCGCCAGAGGAGAAAGCAGACCTCTTTAACCAATTCTTCACCTCCATTTTCTTGTGCAGGGACTGGGACTTCCCCACC